AATATTATTTTATGAAAATTCTTGTCGTCGCATTTAATATGAAGTTAGTGTTTGTCTGTCTTATTTTCAAAAGAAAAAAAGATAAAAAATACTTTAATTCATGTTTTAAAAATATGATATTTTAATCTTTTTCAATAAATGTTTATTAAAATAACATAGTTTTATAATAATATTCCTCTTAATTTTTAAGAAATAAAGCGGATAAACATTATTTTCATATAATATTAATAATTATATATTTTTTTTATCAGCAGTCCCTCTACTCATTAAAGATGCTTCAATGGATAAAAATCCGGTATGTATTTCAACATATTCTTTTTTATTGGATTTAATTATCCTAATTTAATTTTTATATAGAATTTAACTCAATAATTTTATATAATAAATGAATTATAATTAATCTTTTTATCTAAATAAAAATAAACACTATATATATAAAAAATTTAATTATCATTTATTTATTATATAAAATTATTTAATCATATTTTATGTAAAAGTCAAATTTAGTTAAATCGGTAATAATTTTAGTTTGAACTTTAAGATGAGGGTGAAAGAATTTGAAAAGATGGATTATCTTATTGTATTTTGAATATGTCTAATGATATATTAAATAATTTTTAATGAAGTTTTTATTCATTAAAACAATCTTTCGTGATGATATCATGTTATATAATTGATCATCAGACACATAAAAATAAGTTAAGCTCATAAAAAATAACAATTTTAATAATAAATTTCTCCCATCTTATCTTGGATACCTACTCTTCTATGATGTTTAATGGATGATGGTTGAAAACAAATAAGAATTAAGTTTCTAAAAGGAGTTAACATATGTTTGACAGGTTGGGCTGTTATAATTATTTATCATTACTATGGTTTTCATTTTCAACCCTGAAATCGGGGATATGGAGAAAAAGACATGATCTAGAGGAACTACAAAACAAATTCTAAGGCACACATAAAAGAAGTATACCTACCACACTTCATGGAGTCAAAAGGGGACCCTTTCATGGAAGTCTCCTTCTAAGTCGAATCACTGCAAAACAGCACTGAATAGAGAATTCAAACGATGATTGAGTCAAGAGTCATGACATTAGTGCATTGCACATCTTCAGGTCCCCCACACAGGAATTATCCGTGGAATTTGCCTCATTCCTTTTTTGTAGAGCAAGATACAAAAGTTATCAAGTAAATCACACTTTTAACTTTTACATGAAAAAAAAGGAGTTACAATTCAACTTGTCTCCCAGCAAGTAACTCTTGCATAAAGAAAAGGGAATAACATCAGTACAAATAAAGGGTTTGAATTGAATATAATATGCCCCAAAAGATTTTATGCTGGGGTGATTAAATTTCAAAATTTCATCCAATCAGTCTAGATCAAAATGCACGAAATTACGCAACAGATTCAGAAATGCATAATCAACAGAACACAGTTAAATTCCGCATGTTCTGTGCTGATATATAATCCTCGTCATCTACTATGGAGATTGCTTATCAAATGGCAATTTGCAAGCAGCCTTGCTGTCTTTTGGCTTGAATTGGCCAAGCATTTCAGCAACAGTTCTGCAACGACACTCCTTTCCAGGCCGAATTACATCCCCATAAACAGCCATTTCAATAATGTCAAGCTCCCTATCTACAAAAGAAAGGAACATTCAGATTTAGATCTATGTTCCAATGTTGAAGCTATAAAGTACCAGTTTAAAAAACAATGGACAATTATTAGATGAGAGTCACGTTACGATAAAATCTGACTGATAAATGAGAAGTTAACATGGAAAGCCAAAAAAACAGAGCTAGCAGTTTTTGTTTTGTCATGATTACGTTACATTATAGATGATAGTATGAATGAAGGTTGGAGTTCTTGCTCAAATATGATGCTTTTCCTTTGGGCTACACTACTTTGAATTTTTGATTCCCCATTTCCCCTCTGCACCCTGCAGGTGGCGCATGTGTGCTTGATACAACAAGACCTATTGGGTGTGGCTAGGCCTAGAACATGTAGTCATTAGTGAGTTTCTCACTCATATGTACAATAAGAAATGATCTTTGCCTCAAAAGAGGACAAATTGAAAGAAGAAAAATAGCATCCTTTGGTTTCATTAGTGGAAAACCAAGATTCTTTAGTATAAGACTGAAGACTAGATATCAGAGATGCAGTCCTCTTCAAAAGGATGTGTGCAGATCAGTAATTTTTTATTTTTAGCAAATATCATTAGTCCAAAAACTAAGTTCAGAAGTCATCAGCAAAACTGGTTAGGTTTCTAAGGTAAAAACTGATTAAAAGAATTGACAAAGTTGTCAATAAAGCTTGATCCACAAAGTCTCTAGGTGTTGCAATTGTTATTTCCAAATCCTCCAGATTTGCTGCACTATTACAATTTACAAGAGGAGTGTGCATCTCTAACCTGGCACATTACAAAAAGCCAGCCATTTCATGGATGCTTTCTATACAAAACCACTGAAAAAGTAGAAAGAAGGAACCTTTTATACTGAAAATTAATCAGTGTTTGGCATCAGACAACAAAAATGGGTGTTCAAACCAGAAACTAGAGTGTCTTTAATTCAAACATTAAAATGGCAAGAGCTAGAAACAAGATGAATCAAACTAACAAGTAAGAGGTCCATTTGAAATTCTTAGTCAACAATTAACTGGAAACAACAAAAAGCTGCAAAATAAACAAGCCAGCACCTGCGTATGACACTTTTTGGTTTAGAAAGAGAAGAATACAGAATTACAGTAAGCATACCAGTAAACTGAATTTCACAGGAATAGCCTTTCAACTTTGATGCATCCTCCTGTTTGTCTGATTTAAACCTATTCACCCTAGTTTGAAGAATCTGACAATTATCTGCTGTGGACTCACCACCTAGAAAACAAGTGAACAATCCAAATCACCAACTAGCTCTAAACCAAAAATTTCACATGTCATTTTTCCTCTTTCTGAATAAGAAAGACATAAGGGCTCAATCAGTATGTGGCAACCCATTTGGACAATAACATAACCCATATCCTGCTTGAAAACCAATTTGAGGAAGCATGTTCATGGGGCAACTTGCAGAGAATTTGCCTTTAGGGGCTAAGTCCAAGCCCAAGGGCCAAGGCTTACACCACAACCTAATCCCAGCCCCAGCAATAACAGTGGAAGAAAGCTGGTGGCTTAAGGCCAACGGGTATGGGAGTTTTGCCTCCAGCAATATTCAAAACAAGCACTATTTACCTTCACAAAGGTCTCCAAGGTCATGTTTGTTCAATGGAATACCGAATACCTATTAAATGGTCATTATTCGATAAAATAAGATAAAATACAGTGTGAGTCTGAAAATGATGGGAAACAAAGGTAGAAATAAGGTGCCTGTTTTCTTTTAGTAATTTGGAATGAGATTGGAATAGCTATTAACACCACCCACTAGCAGTATGGTATGCTTCCAAAAATGAAATTGTGAAGACATAAAATTAGTATCACTCAAGTGCCCATATTCAATATCTCAGGTAATTAGAGTAATAAAAGTTCAAATTATGTTCTTTCCCACACCATTTCTCCATGACTAGAAAGCCCCATATAATCAATCATCAAAACCTGAACAAAATCAACATCCCACCATACCAGGCAATCAGGTCAATACTAATTCTCCTTAGGAAGCAAAACCCATGAGACCAATTACAATTAGGGAACCTGTAACTGCCTAAAGTCTCTGGAATTGAGAAGAATAAGGCCAAGACATCCATGGAATCGTTTTTTGGTATACATAAAGGGAGAAAGGAGAGACCTTTGGAGAAGGGAACGACGTGATCGTACTCGAAGCAGAGACAACCCTGGCAATTGCAGAAGCGCTTGCAGACAATGTTGCCGGCTGCGTCTTTGCGCCACCTCTCCGGGTGCCTGCCTGGCACCGTCTCTGCCTTTGCCCAGCACCTGCTCTTTGCCTTTGAGTCGAAGTATCTGGGTCTCTCTTCGCCATTGCTACTCCGACTGCGGGATGAGGAAGGAGGAGGAGAAGAACTCATTCCTCCTGTCGACGTGAGTTGTGATTGGTCTGCCAAGGCGATTGACCCCATCCCATCATCGGAATATAGTCGGAGGGTTGAGGTAGAATTAACCCACAAGTTAACCCCAATTAATTAGTAGTAGTAATTATGTTCTTTTACCATGCGTTTTGCCCAATTGAGGACAAAATTATTAAGAAAGTAACATATTAGTGTCTCATTCTTTTTTATAACAAAAAAAGTACTCTCTCCAATTCTAGAATCACAGACAATTTGATTTAGAATTTGTCTTAGATTTATAGTCTTTTTTAATTTAAAAGGAGTCATTTTTTTTAAACTAATCATTATTTCTTAACATTAATTATTCATCATATTATAAGAAAATTTCTTATTATCTTTATTTTTTTTAAGGATAATATAAGTAGCAACGTAAAAAAAAATCTCTCTTTAATCCTTACTTTTTCTTTTCAGTGGTAATATAAGTATAAATTGTCTATCAATCTTAATTGAAGATATAATTAAAAAAGTTTTTCAGTGTAGGCTTAGTTTGGGAATAATGTGTACTGCTTCTTTTCTTTTGGTTGTTTTTATTTTTTTTATTATTTCAAAAATATATAAAATATTACTACTTAATTCAATTTTAGCAAACTTAATTTTTAATTTAAAGAATTCAAATTTAATTATCTATTTTTCCTTTTTAGAATGCCATGTAATAAGTTTATTCATATTTTACCTTAATTTAAAAAAAAATTATAATATATATTAAATAAGAAATCTATTTTTAAAAAATTATAATATATATTAGGAATTTTCTAACATTTTTCTTTATGGGACAACTTAAGAGTATAATTATTATATTTTTTATTATTAATTTATATAAAAAATAAAAAATGATTTAAATTTTATTAATGATCTAATTAAATTGTTCAATGTAATATTAGTATTAAAAATAAAATTTATTTTTATAATTTTAAAATAAATTAATGATAAAAAAATAATAGAGGCACATTTAATCTATATCCTTAAAACACAAATTTAAAAAACCTAAGTTTTATTTTTAAAAGTTTATCTCACCTATTTTCTAAGAATGCATGCTAAAAAATTCTTTCTTTTAAAATGTTGTAAATGAAATAAATGGACAAGATGGGTCAAAATCCACTGGTCTGACGAATTTCGCCAACTAAAATTTCAGGAGTCTGAAAATCTTAAACTCAATTTTTTACTGTACTAACTATCGATTGC